AAAATGAAAAATAAAAAATTCTTGATTTTACACCTTCTGTATTTCGTATTAATATAACGAAGCTGAAGAACATATGTGAGTTCCACATTTTAGCCCCAAAGGGGCTGCGCTAACAAGCTTTTTTGTTGAATTTGGCTGAAACAGTATAGTTTCCAGCATTACAATAGTGTTGTTACAACACCATATTCGCATTAAATGGCTAGTTTTTCATCCGCTCTCGGTTGACAGTCGGAGATACAAAGATAGAAGGGTGGAGCTGGGTCAAATATGTGAAATTTGAGAGGCTCGGTTCAACTTTCAGTATATTCATCTATGCTTTTGTGGTTTTGAACGTGAGAATAAACATACCAGGCCTTCGAATTCGCATATTATCGATTTCATTGTGATGCTCTGTCATCTGGATGTCCTACCCACACAGACAAGCTGTTAGCACAATCCCTGAGGGATTAAAAATATGAAACACGATGTAGCTACTGTTGTCTTCATCCTCCTTTGACTTAATCTTCGAGAAATGTAATAAGAAAGTAATTCGTATATGACAACAAGGCCGTTACTGGCATACGAGCTGTGATTACATATTAACAAATTATGTCACGATTTGTGAGTTTCTGACTAGCGTCTGTTACATCTATGATGGGTCGCTAGGGAGTTTGCAGGCTGTCTGTCATGTCTGTGAGGGGAAAGGGGAGGCCGGGATGTGTGGGTCCAAAATTTTTATTCAATACATTTCAATACTCCTTTCATGTCGTGTTTCACAAAAGGTATAGAAATGCATGAGGAATATCAGGAGATAACATCATGCGGTCATATACATGATGAAAACCAAGACCACCTCTATGTTAATGCCGCTTGATGAGCACATAAAAATATGCGTCAGATATGATCGGTATCGTTATTGTATTGTTTTGGCCTTTCACATATCTCATATATGACGACTTCTTTGGAATTTCACTCTGAGTAAACCGATCAGTGGAAGACCATTAGTGTTTTACATATTATTCCAAATTTTCTGTCCAAAGTTAGAACTACATTTGCTATCAATGCACCATATATAGACGACTAGTTGTACTAAAATTTTAACACTTATGAGACGAGGACAACGAAAGAAATTCAATGCCCATAATCAAATATTTTTCACATGTGTCTTGCAATGTTCATGCAGCTTTACCAAAGCGAGACATATTTATTTTAAATATCAATATAGAAACATTGATAGCTACACTCTAAAAAAAACGTTTTCTCAGAAACCGAAATCCCTTCGGAAATCCTTTCGGAAACCCATGAACGTATCCGGAAAGGTTTCCGAACTCATCTTTTAGTTTCTGAAAATACCTTCAGGGTTACCGAGCATCCGGAAACCTATGGGTTTTCGAAAGATAGGTCCGAAAACTCTCAACCGTATTCTCAGAAATCCTGGTGCTATTTTCGAAAACCTTTTTGGGTTTCCGAGCACCGGAAATGGTGAAAGCGTTTCCGAGAAATCGAGAATGGTTTCCGAACGTCTATCAGAAACCCTGAAGGGTTTCTGAATCTTCAGAAAACCCTTGTGTTTCAGAAAAAAAGCCTGGGAAACCCATTCAGTATTCTCAAACACCGAAATAGCATTCCGTTATCTTCTTTTTGATTCTCATGCTTTCATCGTTATTTTAGAGGTTTAGGAATTGCTCAACATGCATGATATAAACCTTATTCAATTTATGCGGAATTGTTGTGTAAAACCATTAGAACACTGAGAATTCAAAAAAAATACATTATTTCTGAGAGAATTTCAACTCGTTTTTACATCTTTCAGTACCTAAAAACTTGAATGGATTGTGATAAATTTTACTGTGAGGATCGCAGAGCTGCATTAAATTGCCAGGTCATTCAAATAATACCGTCTTTCTCCTTCTTCATTCGTTTATGTTTCATCCAAGTACAAGCATTATCATCCTTGTCAACAGATTGCAACGAAATATAGTGCAAGTTTCAGCCGTTTGAGGATCTTTTCAACCGATTTATACAGAAGATTTATAGGAGAGGAACGATGAAAAACATGAAGAAATCTTCATTTGCAAGAGAATGTAAAACAAATACCGGGTGTCTCGGAATGATTGCAAAATAATTTATTCTCCATATATCTCCACAAACGTAAATGGTAAAATCTTAAATTTTTTCAAAACATGCGTCCTGATATTCTGCACGATAGTCAAAATAAAACATCTGCTTCGCGTGTGCTAATAGATTTGGAGTAAGCTAAAAGAAAAGATGTATCGGATGTTGTAGTTTCTCACTTTGATACCGCTTTAAGCGCTGTAAAAAAACACATTTACTATCTAAATCGAATCATATGTAGGAGTGTACAGCTCACGCTCACGCTCAAATGAGCGCTGACACCGCTCGCACTCACGCTCATAGTGAGCGTGAGCGTTTTTCGACTTGCGGAAAGTGGGATCCTCCCTGATCACGTTTTTCAACTTTATTCCCCGAAAATCAACATTGACGATTTTTGTGCCTGGGGTCCCCCTCAGGTATCATGAAAAAAAGTTTTTTTCCGAGTCAAAACCACATGTGCTTGTAGATTCAGATGTGCTGATTACGAATATCACAATAAGAGCTCTCGGAATTTTTTGTTCCTGAGATAGTCCTAACCACTGTACGATCCTAGTTTTCGTTGTTGATGTCCTCATAAAATAATTATTCACGTAAGTTTACCCACAAACGTTTTTCCTAACCTAAAATTTTGAGTTCTCTACGAATCTGAGCTTTTTGTGCGAAAAAAATGGCCATTCCGACCAGGGTTACCAAATTCAAATTATGAAAATCAGGGATTTTTTGTAAAAAATCAGGAGATTTTCAGGAGATTTTTTTCCTAAATCAGGAGAAAAATCAGGAGTCTTTTCTGTTGATATTTAACAGTCATTTGATGATATTTATATGCATCATAACAAACAGAGAAAAATGCAACATCACGTCACGTAATTCAAGAACAACAGAATTTGTTATCGATGGTGCACGTACATTACATGTTATTTCACGTGCCTAGTAAATCAATGAATAGTGTTGTATCAACAATATAGCATAAATAATATTATTTTTACTTTAGTTCGATTACAAGTAATGTTTTTTTTGCGATAGAAGAATCTGGAAAGCATTTTTTTGCTTAAATTAATTGTACAGGCTTGTGAAATATAGCTGTGAGAATGCTTAACAGCATGAAAAACCATAGTACCTTCTGCAGCACACAATTTATTAAGTTCCGATGTGGTCATATGAATGTTTCACAAATAGATTTTGCTGAAAAAAATTCAAAAATACTTTTATTAGTAAAATTAATAAGGATAAATCTTACATCGATTAGATTCAGCTGATTTCAAATACTCTAGATGTTTTTTCGATTTTTTATGACGATTAATATCACCAACTCCACTATTTTGAATGGAAAATTGTATGTTACACTCAACACATAAAGCTTTTGTAGGATCCGTTTTACATTATCGTAGAAACGTAGAAAAACTCGAATTAGATAACCACTCTTTTTAAAATTTTGAACAATAACGTTTATTTGTTGTTGTTGTTGTTGTTGATGATGATGAACTGGTAGATGTTGCAGCTGTGGTCGTTTTTGGTGTAACAGTAACACTTTCTTTCACAGTTAATGGATTCACTTGTAAGGAAAAATCATCATCTAATGAATCTGATATTTCAATAATATCAGCTAGTGGTGGAGAAAACATTTAAAATAAAGATATTTCTGTCATTACTATATCGATTTTTACAAGAAAATGCGATAAAATATAGTTTATTTAATTGAAAATCAATTTTGATTCGACAAAAATTAAACGAAATATATTTCCTTATTGGTTACTATATCTGTTTAACGCTTCCATAGATTTGTTTTTTTCTCTTTTAAACTACTATAGGCTCAAAATGCCGCTAATCGACATATATAAAAAAATCAGGAGAAATCATAAAAAGCAGCTCCTGATATCAGGAGATTTTTTGCCAGAGAAAAAGTTCAAAAATCAGGAGATCCCTGGTCAAAACAGGAGATTTGGTAACCCTGATTACAGTAGGGTAAATCCACGGTATCTCTACCACGTTTACATCGACTTTCTCTAAATCGCATGAAACTTTCAGAGTTTGTAGACCACATTGATCTAAGACTTTCTACAATTGCCGTTTTTTAAATTTCATTAATAGTACATAGATATAGGAGATGATATTTTAGACGATTTTCGTATTAAATGCAAAAATTTGGATTTTTCAAAAAACTGAATCCATCAATTTAAATTAAAATGCAATCAGTTATGTAGACATATTATATATCATATGGTAGCTATTGGTCTTGGCTACATTTTGGCTATAACAGATGGTGGCTTTCCTGATACATTCCTTACATGAATTTTTCATTTATGTGGTAGACCCCCAAATCATAGGGTGTGCTCGTGTAATGAAAAAAAAGATCGAAAATATGGAATTACAGGATATAGCCATATATATAGTTTTGTAGAGAATTCTTTGCTCTACAACATGCAATAGATCGCATCTTTCCCATTTTTGATTTGACAAAACGCGGAAGACAAAAAATATGAAACATACCATTTTTCCATATTTTACAGAAAAAATTGCCAATTTTATCAGTATATATATATATTATTATTCTCCAAACATCTTCTACGATTAGCAGTTAAAATATTTGAATATTCTCTTATCCATTGATATTCATTCGACACGATATTTTGTCATAAGTACATATAAGGCTGAAAAAATATGAAAATATTCTATGATGAACATATACAAACATACATTATATTATGTATATTACTGTTTCACACTTTTGAACTTTGTTTTCGTTGAAAAGTAGTATTAGCCACATTTAAGTATCTATTAAAACATGTTTTCAACAGTACATCATACCTCACGACTAATGTTTAGGTAAAAAATTTCTCAAATAATCTTTTAATATTAATTTTACTTAGCGCTAAAATTTTGTTTTATTAAATGAAGTTATTTACTGATAAGTTGGGACTTTTTCTAATTATTGCATATATCGATAGTTTCAAATTAACTGAATTGTATATTAATTGATTTGATTCAAATCTAATAAGATATTCAATAGTGCATTCCACATAGGCTCGATGGACTGAAGTTTTCTGAACACGAGGAATCATCTT